ATCCAAGGCTTTCTTGGGTGACTGAATATCTTCTTTGTGGTCGCATGCTTAGTGACTTCCAGTTGGATTCGACGAGAGAATATATCCCCCATATCTTCAGTGCTACGTCGTGCAAGCAGGTTGGACCAGTTTATTTCAGACAATGCTCGATTGAGAGCACTGTAGTTTAATAGCTTCACAGTTTTGAAGTGTCTACGTGATGGAGTTTGTACATAGAATTGAAGTGAGGTCAATAAAGTACAGTAATCCAACTTGCCAAAAGGAGGTAGGTAGTCTAGACTAGAAACAAAGTGAGGATCATTGACAAATATCAGGTCGAGAGTTCTGGGAGTTTGGCCTTCTCTGAATCTCGTCGGATGATCTACGAGTTGGAGGATGTTCGACTTACGCATTGAATCAATATAAGGGGCAGAAGGGGAGTTGCATTCAGGTAATGTTGTCATGGGCCAGCTGCTGTCACGTAAGTTGAAATCACCAGTTAACAGAATTTTCTTCAATGAATTTACACAAATAAACATCACCAGCACAGGGACGCGGTCTGCAGATACAGGCTAATACAAAACTAAAGTTTGGCCGTGTTAGTTCCAAAAAGAGGCTGTCGATACCATCGAAGCTCTTGGAAGTAGCAGTTATTGTGAAATTGTCAGCAATTTCGGTACGTACATAAACACAGACCCCACAATACCCCGGCGTGGGAGGGGAATCTACCCTATACAAACAGTAACCAGGCAAATTAACAACATACTCAGGTGTATTTGGGCTGAGCCAGGTTTCTGTCAGCCAAAGAAACGAAGGTTTGGTTCCATCAACAAATGAATGCACTTCGAGAAGTTTAGATACCAGTGATTGAATGTTTGTGCAGCACACCGACCACTCGGTTAGCAGTTTTTTGATACAGAAGATTGCTGTGCAACAATATTGACAATGGATGGTCTACCCTTGACATATTTAATCGTGATATAATAAACTAAAAGATGTACGGTTTAACATTCAAGAAAAATCTTTTTGTTATCATGTCGATATGAATCACCCTATTGAGAACGGTATATTCCAAGTAGGAAGCGTATAGTCCACAATTTTTATGAATAGCATTTTTTATTATGTTTTATGCTTATGCAGATATTGTCCAATTAGATACTGAAAACTCTAATTGTTGCAGTAGCACATCTTAGATAACAATCAGCTATGAAACTCTCCTGTCAAAAACGGCCGCCATTTCGGTGGAGAAAATGGCATGTGAATTCACTTGGTACAAAGAGAGAAAAGGTTTTTTGTGTTCAACAGCAGCCGGTGTTGTCACGTATCATAGCAGCAGCAGATACTCTTTGCAATTCTTAAAATAATAATATTTCCATATGATCTAATGTAGTTTGTGTGATTCAATAATAAAAAGAAGCGAGGGATATAATCAGTCAATTGCATTTTCAATGTAAGCAGTGCTAAGGATACCAGAGATGCACAAAGTTCACCCAATCACAAGAATTTCGGTGTCTTTGTCGCAGCAAAAAAGAGCACATGAACATTTAAATGAGAGATTTGAGAAAGATTGTTCATCGGTAAAACCAAACCATTTTGCACCAATAGATACGTGTTTATTCTTCGCTCATTCTAAACAAATTCATTTAAAGAATGTCTGTGTTGTCATGTAGTCATGACCCTGTGGAGAGCGGCAAATTTTTCAAATAATGAGCATATAGTCGCCTACAATTTGTATAGCTTGTATAGGTATTTAAAATATCGGAATTACGGACCGCTTACGCATCGTAGCTGAGGAGTCTTCAGGCCTTTCAGGTGTTTTAACAATGTTTACATTGAAAATGGAATGGATTGAGAATATTGCCGCAGGAAGGAACGCATGACAAAAGTAAATATTTTTCTGCTTATTGTGAATAATTTATTTTAAAACTTTTTCATAAATAAATAGTCAACAATACCTCGTCGCTTCTTTTTTTTTGGACAAACATATTCCTTTTTATTGTTGGTTCACACAAACTACACCAGATCATATCGGAATAGTATAAATTTTACGATTGCAAATGTCTGCGGCCGATGGCAGGGTACGTGGTAACACATGCATTACAGTTTTTGACAGTGACAAGAGAGTTTCATAGTTCACTATTATGTAAGCTGTGGAAGTAGCTACGTCGCTTGATGGCTTGAGTATTTTTGAAGACCTTTTTAGATGCTAATCACTACAAAGGCTTCAACTTTTGGCTACTATTTCATATTTACGCTTATGCACTTTTCGGAAAATAATGAACGACTTTTTGCAATAACCAATTAACTCTTGCACGGACCTGAACATACCCATTTGAAGGTGTTTCCATCCCTCTTCCACTTCAGTTATAGACTTATAGGCTTAAGTTTTATGAAAAAGTTACCCAGAATTTTTTATTTCGAGATGCATTCTTTGCATTCACCCTAAATAGTATATAAATCGTTCTGTACGATTTCTTTAACATTTGGCTAGTAGCCTGATCAAATGAGTGTTTTGTCGTTTCTAGATGACATCTACAAAAGTGACTAGATGATTAGAATTTGAAAAAAGAATTTTAAAATATATGAACACGGCGTTCTGTGCGTAAACATGCGCCTGTCCTTGACCTTTCCGATCGTGCATTGAGGAGAATCCTTCATGATGACATTTATTTCTATCCTTAATAGACGGCAATTGTGCCTATTTCTGAACGTGACTTCTCGGATGAACGTGTGAGCGTGTTCTCGAAGTCGCTCCTGAGGATGCTACTGTTTTTTTTAGTGATAAAGCTCATTTATATTTGTGTGGATCCGCCAACATGCAAAACATGTGCACCAATCCTCGAGAATTGCTTCAAATATCTTTGCATTCAAATAAAGTCACATTGTGGTGTGCAACTTCCACACCTGGATTTATTGATCCCTGGTTGAAAATGAAGTTGCAGTGGCAGTGAATTCGGACCGGTATGTAAACATGTGGCAGGATTTTTTTTCCGCCGCTAGATAGGGTACCAATTACGTTATCGTCAATGTCAGCCTTTTGAAATGGGTATTTTGTCGAAATATTTATAGACGGTGCTATTTTACGCTAATGTGATATTTTTACATAGTATTAAACATGATGCAACCAAAACAGATCAAGTGATCTCCACAACTGTAGAGCGATTCATATGGTGAGTCTCACATCGTTAACCAATCCCATCCACAGCATCGCCGATGAAAACACTCTACATACAGGAGTTCCCAGTGCCAAGCCAGACGGGTATTACGTATCTTGAGAAGTGACATTATGTCGGTTTTTTTGACATTATATTGTTTTTTTGTACAACATCTTGTACAAAAAAACACTTACCACTAGCTGATGGACACTTGTTGTGAACTCGTTTTGTTTGGCTCTGATGGGATGTAAAACCTGCTTCAGATATGGCATTATTGGAGGTCTAAGCTGTAAGTTGCGTACTATAACTAGAAGGAAACGGCAGCGCATAAGTGCATACTGAGGATTTCTGTGCTAATCATACCTGTTGATGATAATTTCATTGGTTTCTTGTCTCAAATACACTTACTTGAGATTCAAAGCTAGGAATTAGTTGAGCATCCACTTTTTTTATCCATTCTGGTAATTACATATAATAATAATTAATAATAATAATAATAATAATAATAATAATAATAATAATAATAATAATAACAATAATGATGAATGATGAATGATGAACGATGACGATCGATGATGATCGATGATGATTGATGATGATCGATGATGATCGATGATGATCGATGATTACCGATTATTATCGATGATTATCGATGATTGTCGATGATGATCGAGGATCGAGGATCAAGGATCAAGTATCAAGGATTACGGATTACGGATTACGGATTACGGATTACGGATTACGGATTACGGATTACGATAACGATAACGATAACGATAACGATAATGATAATAATAATAATATTTTACATAATAATACCACCCCAGTAAAATATGTTTCCCCAAAACAATTCGCCAGAAAAAAATATCCCCAAAGTCTTCCCTATTGAAAGAATTGATTTTTGGGGGAAACCCCTAATGTGGCAACCCTGGGATCCAAAATAAATAAATTATGTAAGGTCGTGAAGTGAGTGGCACCAGCGGAAGGAAACAAAGAAGAAAAGTAATCTGTAGTTAGTTACTTTTTCTGACACATTTCGGATCGAAAGATATTCGTGAAATGTATCGTTACACCCAAGTATCGTATATAAAAATGTAGATCGAAAATATCGGGTATCGGAAGCTAAAGTATCGATACTTCTAAATATCGTGGTTTTTTCCGCGGAACTCCCCTCCTAGAGTTTCCCCTAGAGTTTTTCTCATAGTTTCCTTGAGATTCTATTTTTGGCCTGGTTAAGGCATTGCATGCCATTCCGTTACGATGAATAGATCGAATGTGAACTGACATCCGACGTTTTGTTCCACGGAGGAGGAAGAGGTGACACTTCAACTCAACGATAAAGTTAAAAATACATGCAATGTCGACCTACAGGTTTCTGAAAACGGTCATATTTGATATATTCTCGTTTTAGTATTAAAAACATGAACATTAAATAATTGCTCACACATTATGTTACTTTTTCCAAACATACCTAAGCCACCCAAAAACTCATTATTTTGCATGCAATTAACAACTTTACCATTTTAACAAAGCGTTCTTATAATCTGAGGTTATCTTGTTATCAGAGTGTCTAAAATTGTTAACAAAATTCATTAATTTAGCTTATTTCTAGGGCCCATGAATTTCGGGTAGCTATTGTGGCCACATTGGACTAACAAATTTTTCGTTCAGTTTGACAATATACAGACAACTAAACACCCTACCTATTAGAAATAAATGCTTAATATTGACTTCTGACTTACGTTGGTTTTATTCCCCACTTTAGGGGTAAATATAACCCTTTTTAAACTATAACTTAAAATGTTTGTTGGGGGCATACACTTCTGCTTTTCCAAATTAAACTCACATAAAAAATCAGATTCTTACCTGATTTCTGGTGGGATAGTGGAATCTGGTTCCAGGCGGCTCCACAATCATCCAAACAAGAGTGAGAACTACTTGCACAGCGATAAGGGAGCACGTGATCATCACTTGGGACTTAGGACTGATGTAGCTAGGTCTTTGAGCAGACTTCGAAGCGGAGTCGAATATTCTCGATATCCTGTTGGTCTTGGTCAGTAGAGCACCATAAATAATCGAGAATCCCACTCCAATACCAAACCGTTGCGTAATGCAGATCTCGGTAGTGGGTTTGGCAAGCAGCACAAATGTATTCAAATAGCACAGCAAAATGCCAAAGAGCAACATGTAGCTAAGCTCACGACCAGATGCTCTGACCAGAGGCGTGTCGTTGTGCTTGATGAAAAGAATAATCACTGCAGTGGTTACTATGATTCCTAGACAGGAGAATGCAGCTGGAATAAATGCGTAAGGGCTATTCCATCTCATGTATTGGAGCTCCAAAGCGTAGCATGATAGTTTGTCTTCAAATGGCCAGTATCCTGGACCACAGTCCTTGCAGGTGAATTCGTCGAAGACGTATTCGTATTCTTCGCATTTGTCGCAGATCCAACAGCATGTGTCACCCTGAAAAAAAAAATCTTAAAAGTAAGTACCTTAAGCCGGACTCCGCCCTGAACACGGACCGCAAATATCAATTTTCCCAGATGTCGACGTCAAGCCGGAAACGGAGGCTAGGCCGAGTCATAATAGTTATCAGTAAAATATAAAAAAATATAAGTCGTGCTCTTTTTAAATTGTAGGCTTTCAAAAAAAATCGCAAAAATCTATACCCTGTCATGATCTTCCCATTACTACAAATTTAAATTATTTCTTAGACGGAGGGACAGACAGTGTCATTCTACGTAGTGACAGCACGACAGATAGTAACGCCACTTTTATTAATTCATGATTGTGTAGTGCTACTATGTCTGTGTAGACCGTACAGGAATATGCCAACAGGCACTTCATTTATGGGGAATGTAGATTCAATGCTGGTGCCGCAGCTAGGCTTTATCGTGAGAGGTACACAAACGCTGCTCGTCATCCCGATCACCGACTTTTTATGAATGTGCACCTTTTATAGTACTCTCAAAAGGAATGATTTCCAAAATAAGTTATGCTGAAGGAAAAATTTCCTTTCCTTACGAGGACATCGAACTGCGAGCCCTAACACAAAATAGTTCGGACATTATCTAATTTTATCTGGAAGCTTGTTTATTTTTTTAAGGTTACAAAATATTTTTTTAATTCATAAGACATTGAAATATATTGTTTGGACATTATACCAACAACATTATTATTAAGTATGATATTAAACTATAAAACTAAACTAATATTGATAACAACAGTATTTTTGGCTGGCACATAAATGTTCGGACGAACCAATTAAATAGCTTGTTACTTCTACCTTTGTCTTAATAACAGCATTAAATCTGGCTTGCATAGTTTTAACAAGGCTTTCGCAGTCTTCCGCCTTAAAAGAATCCCATATATTTTGTAATTTTACTCGCAAATCAGAAGTGGTTCGTTGTGGATCATTTATTAACTGCTGCTTTATTTTATGCCATACAGTTTCGATAATATTTAAATCAGGACTACTGGAAGACCAGTCAAGGATGGAAATGTTATTATCCTGCAACCATTTTTTGAGGTTTTGACCTTAGGACATGACGCCCCATCTTGTTGAAAAATAAAGTTTCTATCATGTGATACAATTGGAATTTACACTATTAAACAAACCTTTAGATAAATTTAGATAATGTCCAAACACTTTTGTGTTAGGGTTCGTACAAGCAGTTGAAGAAGATCCGAGATCTTCAGTCCGTCAAACAGAAGCAAGCACTTGAGTGTCCAAAAGTACAGCCCACCGAATCTTGCGAAAGATCGATTCCCACCCATATCACGCACAGCGAGTATAATGGCCATTGCCCCAGGATTATCTTCCAAGAGTTGAGTTTTGTCAAACAATGTTGCAGAGACATCGGGAGGATCCTCGATTTTTAGAGAAAATTTAATAGTCTGATGAGTCGAGTAGAATTTACACGACTGTAAATATGTATTTAAAAGATACAAAAGTGCAAAAATTGTTGTTTGTTATATAAAGTATTATCAACAATATATAACGTATGAAGGTTTTGGCACAAAATTCATTGACTTTAATTTTAGCAAACACAAAATAATAATATTTGGAAACAAAAGTTTGCTTACTTTTTTACTGTCAGCTGGCATTCATTTATTTTGATGTTTTCGCTTTAAGATGTATAAATTAGAAATAAGAAAAACTATCAAGTTGGTTGGGCGGATACCCAAATCTGAAAATATTCCAGAATGGAAACATTTCACGCAGAACCATTTATCGAACAATAGCGGAGTGCGAGCAGGGAATACCTTGTCTGAATCTTTCAAAAAGTGGAAGGTCACAAGGTCACAAAATATCGGGTTGGAATGTCAACAAGGAGACAGGCTCGTCAATACAGATCTGCCAAGGACATTGTTGTAATTGAGGAGTAGTGGTCTTAAACATCGAAAGAGACTCTAGTGCCCCAAATACTCTCAAGCGCAACTCCTTCGTATACCAAGATGCTGTCCTCAACTAAGGCGGTACACTTTGACAATGGAAAAATCATTATTTTAGATGACGGAAAAAGTATTTTTACTTTGAGTAAGTCTGGAATGAAGAGAAACGACGGATTTTATACGGACAATGTAGTGGAATGCCCTGACAATGTTAGATACAAACATAAGGCGAGATTTTCAGATAAAATCCTTGTCTGGTGCGCACTTTCTAACAGGGATGTATACCTTGTCTGAATCTTTCAAAAAGTGGAAGGTCACAAGGTCACAAAGTATCAGGTTGGAATGTCAACAAGGAGACAGGCTCGTCAATACAGATCTGCCAAGGACATTGTTGTAATTGAGGAGTAGTGGTCTTAAACATCGAAAGAGACTCTAGTGCCCCAAATACTCTCAAGCGCAACTCCTTCGTATACCAAGATGCTGTCCTCAACTAAGGCGGTACACTTTGCCAATGAAAAAATCATTATTTTAGATGACGGAAAAAGTATTTTTACTTTGAGCAAGTCTGGAATGAAGGGAAACGACGGATTTTGTGGAATGCCCTGACAATGATACAAAAATAAGGCGAAATTTTCAGATAAAATCATTGTCTGGTGCGCACTTTCTAACAGGGATGTATCTCAACCTTTTTTGGGAAGAGTGAGTGGTGAAGCTTTGATTAGTCAGAGCTATATTGATAGCTGCCTTTCCAAATTGCTACAGTTTGTCCACAAAACATCATTCTAATGACCATATTATGCTTAGACCAGACCTAGCATCATGCCATTACATAAGAGATACCCACAACTGGCTTCGGCAACACACCTTTTGTTCCCAAAAACAATAATCCTCCAAACTTGCCGCAGGCTAGCCCAATAGAGGATGTTTAGGCCTTACTGTCTATAAAGGGTTATCATGGAGGCTGGGAAGCCCAAGATGAAGAACAATTAAGACGGCGAATTTACGAAAAACTGAGAGAAATTGGTCTGAATTCTGTCCAGGACCTCACGAGAGACATTTGAAGAAAGTTACGTCTGGTAGAGCAGATTGTAGCACTCCACATAATTCGATTGTATAGTTGAATTAAGTATTGAGTTGCAATTTATAATAAAACTAGTTAGTGTTTAAATAAATTTCTTCGTTAAAAGAAATATCCGATAAATGTTTTTGCCAATACTTTTAGGACATACGTAGTACATGTAGTGACAATCCCAAAAAGGTAAAATAGTAAATACCGTTCATTTTTTAAAAATATTGTTTATTTTCCTCCTCAGAACAAAATATATTTTATTTTTTGTAAAAAAAGTTGGCCACACTAAGGGGCTCTCCTACCTTACGCAACCCTGGGGCAAACTCTTCTTATGGTGAGGCACATTTGGTTGCTCTTTATATCACGAAAGCATTCGATCTCCTTTTCACTAAACCTCCAGACTCTAGAGAAGGTCCAGATAACACCTAGCCTCGAGTACTGTTCACATGTTTGAGGTGCTGTCGCTCCCACTCCATCATTCATAGTCGATGCTGTTCAGAAAAAGGCTGTCCGACTGGTCGATGACTCTTTTCTGAAGGACAGCCGCCACGCAATGTGCCTGTCATTCAGAACCGGCCGTTACGACCACTCCTTTGTTCCTAGGGTATCAATATTGTGCAACTGTCTTTCCTGCAGAAAAGTCGATCAGCCTCAAGTTAACCTACGGCTACCTTCATACCGATGCGATGCCAGTGAGTGGAGCAATTCGTTCGTTTCCGTTTTCTGCACACGGTCGTCTTTCATCTCCGAGCGCCAACGATGCAGAATACGGCAGCATTTATTGGCGATTGTCGGACAATAAAATTCATATGCAAATAGAATGCTGACTATATCCCTTAACTGAATATACCCGATTACAGAAATAGTCTGGAGCAAGGGTGACTATCTAGTGTTCTATATTCTGCATTAGCCAAGAGCGTAATACTGAGGGTCACATTTATACACTATATAACTATGACACTTCAGGATTGGGCGCGGTTTAAGGAATGATCCTTGAATTTAAAACAAACAATAACGCTTCCTTAATAACGTTCAAGGGAGGATTAAACATTTGCAGTGGCTGACTAAGCCCATCGACGGCCCGCGGAGGAAGCACTGAATGAGGCTTCCATTCCATTTGCAAAGAAATTGGTCATTCTGTAATAGGTAAAAAGATAGTCACAAAAATGAATGAAAAAAATCAGTTATTTATAGAGTATATTTCGCGCCTTTATTCTTATAATTATTTTAGTTAGGGGGTACAACATTTCGCATACCCAATAATAAATTGATTGATTTCTTTAGCAAATCATACTATAACTTTGATGAGTTCTTCAAAGATGACTTTTCAGAATTCCAGTAAATCTTTTTATTTCGTTATTGTGCTTTTTCAAATTTTTGTGATTGTAAAGGTTTTTATTGATCTTGTGTATATGTTTACTGTTGCTTTTCTTATTTTATTGCTGATAAATATCATCATTGTCTTATTTTCACTTCTGCAAACACGCACTGTGGATTTCGCAGTAAATAAAGAATTCATTAGAATTAAATATCTAAGAGTAAGGTTATAAATGCGAAGAGCACAAGTTAACATTTTTTTTGCTCCCTTTCAATCGATACCATGGATAAATTAACCGATCGTTCTTGGATTGTAGAACAAATACATTTTTTTATAAGCTTCAGTTTATAAAAACTTCTCTTGCATGACTAGTCCCATTTAATAAAAAATTGAAGAACTTCTTGGGTACTCGATCTAAAATCAGCCTCCATAATTGTATTATTTGCACATAAATGCCAATGATACCTTCTTATTTTGTATCAATTGAAATCTTGTAGCGCGTAACTATAAGAATTATAAGAATAAAGGTGCAAAATATACAATATAAATAAATGATTTTTTTTATTCATTTTTGTGACTATTTTTGTACCCATTACAGAATGATCAATTTCTTAACAAATGGAATGGAAGCATTATTTAGTGCTTCCCCCCCGGGCCGGTTTTGGGCTTAGTCAGCTACTG